TCTTGCCTGAAAATCTTTTGCGTAGCCTGAAACCGTTATCCGGCTACATGCGTGATTTGACTGCGAAAGAACTTGGTTTTGATTTACATGGAGATTTTGGTAATTATGACCATCATGGCACAATTGACTCAGTAGATGAAGGTGCTTCCACCGGTGCAGAGGAACAAACTCCAGCGCAGTTGGAAGAGGAAGAGAAGAGACGTGCCATTCGTTTAGAGAATGAACCGAAGACCCGCTTTGAACCATATGTGGATGATCTCACCTCAGAAGAGATATTAGCGCAAGTGCAAGGCGCAGCACGGGCAGCTAAGAAGCGGTTGTCGGCAAAAGAAAAGGCACATAAGATGGGTTTCTTGCGGCAGAACAAAGATGGGACGACCTCTTTGAACGTGCTACTTAAAGAAGAGAATGAAGGGCCAGAAAAAGTGGTTAGTCTTGGCGAGTTGGTAGGTAAATTGGAATCAGGATCAGGACAACTATATTACTCGCGTAAGGACAAACGAAACGAAGCGAAAATGGTGAAGCCACTTAATTATGGTGCTTTTGCATCTTTCGCGCCAAGCTTTGATTCACGTTTCTCTAATTTAAGCCGAGAAGAAACGCAGTTGGTTATGAGAACATATGGTAAGCGAAAAAAATTATTTATAAAAAAGTAGTTCACTTTACTAAAAAACACTTCATTCTCAAAGGGGATGCTACAAGCACAGAGTATGCTGAAAGCATTTTAGAATTTACCAAGGATTCCAATTATGCATCCATGCTGGCCAATGGGCTATTAGACATGCTGACTAATGGTGAACACAGCAAAGCAATGTCCGATCTTTATGATATGCAAGTACAAAATCATGAGCAAAATGAAGTATTCAAGTGCTTTAGTGCATCCGGCGGCTTTGGTTGTCTTCAAACAGTAACTCCCACATCATCGAAAACTCGCGAGCAAATCGAGGAAGAATATGAAAAGTACAAAAATACTCGTATTGATTTCAATCGTTTACGTACACTCAAAGATCTTGGCATAGATATAGAATTTCTGGATAATATCGAAGCGGAAATGAAAAATTTCGAATTGACTCGCCGCCTGCAGGAGCATTTAAGCAACAATTTAAATTTAATAGAGAAGTTGCGCGCTACGCAACACGAGCGACTTTCACAGCCATTGCCGCAGCACTTGGCTTTCGTACCACAAGCTAGCGCCGAAGAACTGCATCTGGCGCATCAAATTAGCCAACAGCTCGGTGATGTTGCAAAGAAATTGCCGCCGTCAGCTGTGGTTGATCCTTATAGTCTGCGTAAAGCAATGGGCATGTCAAATGGTGAGTAATTTTTTTTTTATTCGTTGCTGCAACTGTTTTATTTACATATATGTATTTATATTTTTTTTATTCCCCATTTAGTGGGTCTGCCACCGCCGCCACCACCAACTACCCAACGCGTGCCCTTGCCCGAGGTGCTTCAACAACCAGTGTCATTGCCGCCGTTACAGCTAGGATCTCAAAACTTAACTCTAAATATTTCAGATGAAAATACAACAAATGTTTCTGCTGCAGCTCTGCCCATGGAAATAGATGATGAAGAGTTGCGCGAAATTTTAGAGAGCGGCAACAGCGAAATGCATGCATCTACAATCGCAGACGAAAATCCTTGGTTATAGAGAGTTTTCTGTGAAAATTAATTAATTTTTATTATAATTTTATTATTTCATTATATTTGCATTTATTATAACCACCTCTTGTAATTAAACTTGCATTCGAAAATAAAGGCTAAACGCTTTCCCTATTATTTTAATTAATGTGTTTTCAATAGGTTTGTTCAAGATCAGGGCAACAATGAAATGTAAACGGTTGCCATCGTTCCCACAACAGTCGTGTATACGTAACCGGAACGACCCAGATTTACCGCAACATTTCCCACTCTATCAGTATTTAATAATAAGGACGCTGAATTTAAAATCTTTCCCAAATAATTAGACAGACTTTGGTGAACGTGGTAGGGTTAATAAATCTTATCGACTTTCCATTATTGCTATCGATCATTTGTTGATACGGTGATGCAATCTCTATTAAAAAGAGCACGTTTTGTTTTCACGTTTGAGCTATTGCTCCTGGTTTATAATTTAGACACAATTTAGGATTTCACGTAATTTCCACCGTACTAACTTTGCTAGGGGAGTCGTAAAGCCGTTAAACTATTCACCAACATCCTCAACGAAACCTGCTATGGACAAAGAGATTGACGCTAGCCAAAGTGTGCTCATGGAGGATCCTCAAGGGAGTGGTATCTAGGTACTAGACCAAACTGTGTTATCGGCGCTTCTCAAAGAAGGTAATATTTCTTTATATATATTTACCCGGAAAACCATCTAACCAACGCATGATTCAGATATCAACACAGATTTGCAAAATGCGCCAAGTGAGGACACAGGTGCCCTGAAAGCGCGTGTGACACCGGAAGTGGCGAATGTTACTAAGGAAGTA